ATATATCACAATAAGCTCATTCGCAAAACCGGGTGATGATTACACTTCTTGGGTACAAGTATATGAATGAACTAACAGAAGATCAGCGGAGACGCATACCTGACGATCGATAAGAACGGCAAAATCAATTGTGCTTACAGGGAGATTTCGTCAAGTCATTCACCTACTACTAATTACGACATATTCTATAAAGACGCTCAATCCACGTTTGTTGCTGTTAACAGTACATAACCCACCTAAAACGCATTGAACCATAGTATTTATTGTTCAATGGACTGGCCCTAAAATCGTAGTCCGAACAACTTTACCTGGAGTTGCAAATGAGGTTATGGTGACGGAAATACATATCCTGGGTAAAAATATATGAATGAACTGGCAAGAGTAACGGGTACGCCTATCTGACGCAGGGCAGGAACTGCGAAACCGATCGTTTTTCCAGGGAAACGTTTTCCCGTCATTCATATACTACGAATTACGAAATATATGCACAGATATTTGTCTAATTTCAGACTATTTATCAAACAATTTGCAGTACAATAATCGTTATAACAGTACAATCGGTCCGTTATTTGCACATGAGCGAAATACTGCTAGGTTGCCCAGACAGAGCAGATGAATTTCCGTAAGATATTTACAACTGGATCGATGTCCAGTTCATTTGACCATACAATCTTGGGATGAGATCCAACGCTCAAAGTGCCCAATACAATTTGATGTCTAACCAAGCCGTTAACCACTGTTACGCTTCTTCTTTTGGTTAGTTTGGAATCAATGTTTTGGTCTACTCCCCTAGGTGAACTGCTAGTGGTTCACCCCGGATGCTGGGCTTTATAGTTTCAACGATTCACGACGATGATGACTTTGATGAAAACGTCACTGGCGTATTCCGTGCATTTAACGAGTAGCCTTCTGATGGATAATCAACCAAGACGATAGCACTCACCTGTAGGAGCAAACAGCCTGCACGCAATGTGGAGATGTTCGAATAGAAACGCTTTTCGTTCAGTCGTGTCACCGCCTAAATGGTGAACTGTGCACAGTCGTTCTTATTTGGTCATCTAGTTTGATTTGCAACTGGCTTTTTGGTTAACATTTTAATCCACCGATCGAGCAGACGAGCCTCCAGAAAACAGCAAAAAATGAAGAACGAAAGTGCTGTGCACGCTCAATCATTCGGTCTCACCACCTATCTGATTTGGGAGTTAGTTTAGCAATCGAGAGATAGTCAACGGTGAAATGGGCCAGGCAATAGAGAAAAATGCTGCAGGACACACTGCGCAATTCACCTTCAAAATAATTCCATACCGAACCGTCAAAGGCGTATTGATAGTTTCTAAAATATTATCCGTGAAAAATACAAAAAAAGGTGGTTAGTTGTGGAAGGCGACTACGCGGACAGCCCATTTCAATCCGGCCGACATTACCACAAACAAAAGGTTCGGAAAAAGTAGATGTTTGTATACATTTCCCAACCGACAGGAAACTCCGTCCATGTTCAATTCTATCAAACATTTGTGGATATTGAGCTAAATACTGAACACGAATTCAAACGGTGTGATGTGAGACGAAGTCATCCAGGCGTTTCTCTGTTTTGATAACTACCTTACACTGACTAGGCACTTGCACCTTCGCCTCCAATAGAAAGTCGATTAGACAGCGGTGGTAAACAATCAGCAGGGTCTTTTGCTCTCGTTGGTCATGCGATTACCATCTATGAAAACGGGTGACTGCTTTCGTTCAACCCACAATTTGAAGCACCACCACTCGTACTATTCGACTTAGGAACGCATTCGCTCTGTGAGTAGGGACTAAGGAGGAAAACCATGAAGTAAGCATCCAATTGTGATCCTAGTTCTACAACACACCGTTTGATCAACGCGTGCAGCAGATCGGAAATAGTGTTCCAAAGGACTAAAAACCTGATTCAACAAGAATTCAAGTCCGCCACAAGAAGCGCATGTGAAGGACACAGAGATGGGGGATGTGAGTGAGTAGAGTGGAGCATAAGCTCCATTTAGGGGTTCCCATTTCCCGTTGCGTTCTTCACGTGGTTCGCTCAACTGGTCGAAAATCCGATAGATGAACGTGGGAGTGCAGTATCTGGATCTCGAATCTATGGTTAGGTCTACGAAATTCATTGGAGGGCAACAACACGTCAAAACAAGACAACCATAAGGTATCACTCAATCCATATCCAGCTTTCCCCTTCGGGCCCGTGAAACTACGAGCAAAATCCGGACAGAAAACCGATAACCGATCACACAGGGGAACAAATGAAAAAAGCAGCGCATACAGTACACTGATGCTTTTCCGTCACCTAGCCGCTTGTGATTTGCGCACAAAATTGACAAATTGGAAAGCTGAGAATCTAAAATGTGGACGTCAATCAAAGCACTACGTCCTTCAGATACAACCTCAATGTTACGCTGTCTTCTTGTGTTTGGCAGCTCAGCGTTCGAAGCTTACCGTCTCTGTAGAATGTGATTGAGCGATGTTCTCCCAACGAAGAAACACGAAGCCGTGGCTTCGTGCATTGTAACATAACGCGCGGACAAACACCGGTAGTTCAAAAGACGAGACAAAGCACCACTATAGCTTCCTACACCCCTAGCTTGTTGCTAAAACCCGAGTGCGGGTATTAGAAAGAGTAATCACCTAAACGTGTACGGATAAGGATGATTATTTCAGCGCATGTGAGCTTGTGTGTCTGTATGTAGGCGTGTGTCAGTGTTGGTGCGCAGTAAAATTCATCTTACAAAAGAAAGAAGAACGAAAGTGAGAAACGGAACCAGGCAACAAGAAGGCGGAGGGCGCGGGGGACAGCCAGAGGGGCATGTGCGTGTGTGCGCGCGCAAACACAAACTCGTTTCAGTGTTCGCTCCAAAGT